AAAGGCGCCCTCTTTGCTGACAAAAATACAGCACAGCCGACCAAGGAGGGACTTCTGTAACAGCAGGGGCCCGCAGAAGTTCGTGTGGCCCCTTACTGAGTGCATGCTGGCTGGGGAGCTTGTTAAACTCTCCAGCTGCCAATACATTCTGCACCACGGGTGGGCCCCCAAGAGCCTCTGGCCCTCGGTCCATGATAGATATGTTTTTGGTTTCAAAAAAACTTTAATCCGAAATTTGGATTTTACCTTAATTGTATGTACATTGCTTCTTGAACACTGACATCTGAACCCAGTGGTGAAAAGAAAAAGGGGGATGTTTTCATTTTTGCTTTCTTCATATTTGAAATGTTTAATTTATATTTTTTGATATCACAAATCAAATATATTTCATACAATGATGTATTAACTACTTATATTAATAAATAATGATAATATAACTACAATATATAGTCCAGTTAAAAAAAATGCATATAAACTATATTACAGAAAAGCTATGTCTTGCAACCTGAAGCCAAATGATTAATTAGTATTAGTAGAAGTCTGTTGGCAATCAGCAAAGATAATGACTCATTAATTAATAGCTAATACTTTAGCAATTAACTACAATCACCAAGACTGCCAACAAATTATTTGTAATGTCAAAATCATTGGAATGTGTTACTTCATATAGCACAAATAATTAAGACCTTGCTTTTCTAGTATGAATACATATTTATTAAAAGGTATAAATTATGAACAATATAACACCTATAACAAGTAAAATAAGTATAATAAGTTCACAGATGCTGCTAAATAAATGTCAGACATTGGTAAGATTGGTAAGTAGGTAACATTTCAAGAGAAACATTTTGAATCAAAATTCTATTATATGTCACCTGTGGTGTTGTCTAAGTGAGGTTACCATACATATCACTCCATCCTTTCCAGTCTTCTACAATTCCGAGACACATGTTCATTTTACTGCTGTGAAATTATATAAAACTATTTAGTTCAGTTTCACATTAAACACTATAAGTCAAAACAGGAAAAATCTTAAAAGACAGTCTAGCAAGTTACATTTTAGTCATTATGATAATATGATATGAAATAAATAAATAATTATATTCTGAGTATTAGAATGTTCCTGAGAATCAGGGGCGGACTGAGAACCCTCAGGGCCCCCGGGAAAAATAAATCAAGGGCCCCCTTACAGGCCCCACCCATACTCTGCAGCAAGCGCCACCCTTGTCCCGCCTCCATGCACCGCTTCCAGCCACACCCTACACAATCTTTAGACACAAGGAACAAAAGGGCAATAAGCCCTTCGAGGCCCCAGTAGAGACTACAATTGAGGGCTAATGGGCCATGGAGGGGATTTCTAGCAGAGGCTATCTCAGTGTCCTTTAGAGAGTGTGTTAGAAAGAATCTCCTCCAGGCCCCATTAGAGACTACAATGGAGTCTAATGGGGCCTGGAGGGTGGTCTCTCCAACACTCTGGTTCCTATTCACAATATAGCAACACAACATAGCTCACTGATACCTAGGCCAAGTTGGCTCCTCTTACCTTAATTACTGTTGCTGGCTGGCAGTCTGTGGGCTTGCTTGCTGCGACTGGCAGGCTGTGGGCTTGCTGGCTACTGCCGGCAGGCTGTGGGCTTGCTGACTGCGGCTGGCAGGCTGTGGGCTTGCTGACTGCGGCTGGCAGGCTGTGGGCTTGCTGACTGCGGCTGGCAGGCTGTGGCTTGCTGGCTGCGACTGGCAGGCTGTGGGCTTGCTGGCTGTAAGCCTGTGGCTTGCTGTAGGCCTGTGGGCTGGCTACTGGCCTGTGGGCTGGCTAACTGGCTGGCTACTGGCCAGCCTGTGGGCTGGCTAACTGGCTGGCTACTGGCCAGCCTGTGGGTTGGCTGGCTGGCTACTGGGGCACTTGTAGATTATTTAAAGAAATAATCCATGCACAATAACCACTACTGCTCTAGAGTAAGTAGTCAAACCGTTTAAGAACAGTTTGACAACTTACCTGGGGTCTGCTGGGATATGAGGCTGTAGTAGGGAATAGGAGCAGTGGTGCAATGTGTGTGAAAGGTTCAGTGTGTGTGTGGGGGTGTAGTGTGTGAATGTGTAGGGTGTGTGGGCAGTGTATGTGTGTGGCAATGTTGGTATGGGGGGCTGTGTATGGGGGTCTGTGTGTATATGGGTGGGCAGTGTATGTGTGTGTGTGAGGCAATGTGTGTAAATGTGTGTGGTGTGTATGGGGGCAGTGTGTGAATGTGTATGGTGTGTGTGTGGGGGCAGTGTGTTTATGGAGCTAGAGTTCACTCTCACCACTGCGACCACCAGGAATCCCTGGGGGTCACAGTGTTGAGAGTGAACACTAGACCGTAGCTCCAGGGCTAGAGTTGACTCTCGCAAGAGCGGTAACGTTGCCATGGTAATCACGGCAACGCTCTGTGCTCGTGCAAGAAGGACCCAGAGGAGCTGCAGGGTGAGCTCCCAGGTCCTCTCTTCCTTCCTCCCCTGCCCGCACGGTGCCTGCGGACAGGGGAGGGGGAGCAATTGCCCTGTTGCCCCCCTGGATCCAACAGTGATATATACAGCCCTTCTGTGTGCCTTTTTGTCTCCCCCCGTCCCTCTGTATGTTTCTTTCTCCCCCCTCCTTCCCAATCTCTCTTACCCCTCTGCCTCTTTCTCCTTCTCTTCCACTGTTTTTCTCCCCCCTTTCCCTGTCTCTCCCCCACATCTCTCTTCCTCTCTGTCTCTTTCTCCCTGTGTCTCTTTCTCCCCCTCCCTATCTCTCTATTCCCCCTTTTTCTCCTAGTGTCTCTATCTTACCTCTGTCTGTGTCCTCTCTCCTATATCTCCTGTTCCCTCTCTTTCCATATATCTCTGTTCTCCCCTCCTCGGCATTCTGTTCTCTCTTTTCCCTCTCCCTATATTCCTGTTCTCTCTTTTCCTCTCCTAAGTATCTCTACCTCTCTTTTCTCCCCTCTCCCCTATATCTCTGTTCTCTTTCTCCCCCTCCCCATCTCTGTTCTCTCTCTTTTCTCCCCTCGGTGGCATTCTGTTCCCTCTCTTTCCCCCTTTTCTCTCCCATTCTGTTCCTCCCTTCCTCGGCATCTCTTGCTCCTCCCTCCCCTAAGTATCTCTTTTTCCTCTCCTCTCCCCCTATATCTCTTTTTCCTCTCTTTTCTCCCCTCCCCATATTCTGTTCCCCTCTCTCTTCTCTCCCTCCCATATCTTCTTTTCCCCTCCCTCTCCCCATATCTCTGTTCTCCCCCCTCCCCATCTCTCTGTTTCCCCCCTTACTCAAGTCAGAGGGGGCCGGCCGTTTGATGCTGCAGCCGCCGGACCGGGTGGCAGCCTCGCCGGTCCGGCGGCATTCCTCTGACTAACACTGAAGGAAGGAGGAGGAGGAGCATGTGTCTGTCATGCTCCTTTGCGGTTCCCACATCCTGTGCTGGGAATTGTGGGAACCGCAGGGAGCATGACAGACACATGCTCCTCCTCCTCCTTCAGTGTTAGTCAGAGGAATGCCGCCGGACCGGCGAGGCTGCTACCCGGTCCGGCGGCTGCAGCATCAAACGGCCGGCCCCCCTCACAGTGTGCCACCGGACCGGCCACCCGGTGGCACCTGCAGTCCCCAAATGCCGCCCCCAATCCAGCCCTGCCGCTGGGCCCCCTGAAGGCGGCCCTGGCGGCGGGCCCCCCTCCCGGCCGGGCCCTCGGACCGTGTCCGAAGTGCCCGACCGGTCAGTCCGCCCCTGCTGAGAATGCCTTTGTTTGGCTTGTCTTTGAAATATTTATAATGCTGACAAGACAAGCAAGCTAAAACAAAGGGGTAGCTGTCAGTAAATCATAGCTATTTGGATAGTGGATAACTGTAATCAATTGTCATTTGTAAAAATGGTCTCCAACAGATTCCAGCAATGAGGTAAGCAAATATAGATAAAAGTAAAGAGTAAATAGTGAGAAAGGTTAGGAAACAAAGTACAGTTTGGGTGTGAAAAAAAAGGTTTTTGGGTTAAGAAATAAGATATGAATTAATGTTGGAAAACTGTAGAAATAGGGAGAGAGATGAGCAATATGTACAAAGAAAAAGAGATATGAGTGAGGGGTTAAAATACATATTAAAAAAAAAAAAAAAAGACATACACCTCAAAAGTCATGGCTCTGAACACAGGTACTTAATTCCTCTTTTCAGAGTGACTTGAGTGATATTTGATCATTTTTAATAAGCAAATTATCATTAACTCATTCATGCCACCACTATACAACATTGCTATTGCAAAGAAAAATTATTTTTTGCCAACTAACGTTGTCTGCAATGTTTGTCCAGACAGCAAAGCCACTATTATTTTAGTGCCAGCTCTGTTGTGCCCACTACATCTGCATGAGCTGGTGGGGAGATCTACAGATTTCCCTGATCTACAGTTACCTCATATCTATACATGTGAAACAAGAAGTAATGGTTGAACAATTTCCTGTTCCTAATCATGCAGGTGTACTAAAAAATGGACAATATCAATGGAATTGTAATTCAATTATATTTTTCTCAAATTAACTCATAGAGGTCTCACAAACGTGCCTCACATACATTTATTAAATATTTGTTGTTGTTTTTTGGATGAACCTGTGAGTCTGCAATTGTTTGATAAGAGTAGAAGGTTTTTGTGTATTTTTGAACAAAATATCAAGTGGTTAAACAAGACAGTTTTCACAGCCTTTGGTCATATTTACCAAGGGTGCCATTAATAGTGGAGGACACTGTACATGTTTGTTCAATTTAATATTCATATTCATATATTTTCTTATTTAAAAAAAAATTTCTGTTATATATAGCATTTAATTATTATTTTTGTGTGACCATGCTTGCCCCTCGTGCTCTCCCCGGTATGCATGTAAGGAGCTGCACCAGTGGCCTCCGTGCCAGAGTAGGCCGGGAATCCCGTGGTAAGCTTACTGTGCTACAGGACAACGAGTACCTGAATGAAATCACTGGAGTCCGCTGGCACGGCTGTCTATTGCTACCAGGTTGGTTGTCGCCACCGAAAGGAAACAGCGAGCTGGAATGATGGAACCACCGAGGAGCTGCAGCAGTTTGACCCAGGCTTAAATCGGATACTGGAGAGCAGCATACTGGCAGTCTGTAACACAGCAGAATCATCAGACCAATCATCAGACCAGTCCTGTAAAACAGTAAGCTTATTACAGGCTTCCCGGCCCACTCCGGCATGGAGGCCACTGGTGCAGCTCCTTACATGCATACCGGGGAGGGCACGAGGGGTGGGCACGCTCGCACAAACACGACCATGGGGTTTGGTGCTTAACAGACACGCATACCCTATGGTAGTATAGAGCCTCTGTGTCCGTTTGTTTTTCAATCGCATATCTCGGCGGGAGGGCGGGATTTATCCTGTTACGGAGGTTCCCTTATAATTCAATGAGGGTTGCAAGAAAATACTCACGTGGCTTCACGTGGTCATGTCTCTGAGGTACACTGCTCCTTACAATTCCCATGGTCTCACATGACCAGATGAGCAGGTTAGGCTTGCAGCCCTCTAGGGACAGTGCAAGGTATTGCCATTTGCTTAGTACCATATGTTACTTATTAAGTTAGCTGTTTGGCATCCCCTGAGGCTATTGTTCTTACTTTCTTAAATGGCATGTACAGGGGTGCATTTGCCTTGGGCAGCACTTTCTGGGGGGGCGGCAAAAAAGCAGCCCCCCAATCACCCTGGCAAATGCCTTGCCAGCCTCTTGTCCTGTGGGGCCAAGGAGCTGGCCGGGTGGCCACCTCAGGGCCCCCCAGGCTGGCAGCGGCGGAGCTTGCCGGGCGGACGGCTAGGGAGCACTGATCCTCCTGTTCAGCTCCCTCGCCATTCCGGATCCGCTCCCTCGTCATTCTGGATCCGGCATCACTATGCGGCATGTGAGGGAGCTGAACAGGAGGATCAGTGCTCCCTCGCCGACTGCAGTGACCGGCCGGCCGCCCAGCAGCCCCACTGGACCCCAGGGAAATTGTTAATCCACCCCAGCATTCCCAAAGGTAAGGAGGCTGGGGGTATTGAATTAAAAAAAAAATGTTAGTGTGTGTGTCTGTTAGTGTGTGGGTGTGTGTCTATGTTAGTGAGTGAGTGTGTGTGTGTCTGTTAGTGGCTGTGTCTGTTAGTGAGTGTTAGGGTGTGTGTCTGTTAGTGAGTGTGTATGTATGCATTTTTGTTAGTGAGAGTGTATGCTTGTCTGTCTTTGTTAGTGAGTGTGCTAGTTTTAAACACTGCTGGTGATCAACTGTCTCGTTTTCAATTTCAGTCCTTCCGAATGTCACTACCTATTGCTTCACGGCTGGCCACAGCCGACCCCTGTTCCAAGAACTAATCATGGATTAGACAAATTGCTGCACCATAGCCAGGCCTTAACAAAACTGGCCCTATCCACTAACACTCATAGTGCCTATGACAGGGTGTCCTTATATAAGAGATTTATGGCAGAACATCACCAGGATAGTTGGTTTGACGTGACATCCACTGGAGGCGTTCGCCACCTCAGGTTAAAATTAGCCCACAATACCATAAAGTTATACCTTAAAGGCATCCAACACCATATGCCTGCCACCATCCCTAACAACTCTGGTTTTCTCTCATTATATCCTATCAGGACCATACTTAAGGGAATAACCAAGGCCTACCCTGCAACAAAGGCTACCTATTAACAAGCAGTTGTTCAAAAATATGTCAGATTTGCTAGATTCAGCCCCTTTTGAACCCCTCATTAATTCCATCATTAAAATGGCTATGTATCTGGCCTTTTACGGCTTCCTGAGGCCACGAGAATTTACCACAAGGTGGCCTTAGAAGCTCATACCTAATCAAACATCAAGATAATTACATACTGACTCTACCCGTGACTAAAATGAGTCAATTGGGTCAAGCCATCCACGTTCCATACTATCCCACGTACAATACATGGCGCCTGGTGAAGGTTTTCGATTCCTACACTGTACCGAATCTCACATCTCTTCCGCTACTATCACTTTACAGGGCTATCCTTACTAACGCTAAGTTGATGCTACGTATGCTTATTGTTAACAAGGCTCGGTATGAACCCCAGCAATTATTCAGGACAGTCATTTAGGATAGGGGCCGCATCTACGCATTGAGCCAGGACATTTCAGTCCATATCAATAAAACTCTAGGTCGCTGGAAGTCATCAGCATATACAGCATACATACCCCAACTGGTAAAGGAAAGGCATTCAAAAAATTTTCATCTTAATGTACTTGCGTTGTATTATGTTCGTTCCTCAATTAATGTATTTAGAGCATGATATGTATTCCTTTTTGCCCTCTTTATTTACTGGCCTACAGCATACGTCTCTTTCGGCACACCTCGACCGACTTTTTCCTATCAGAGGTTGCTAACAATCTTACCTCATATCATAATCCATGTTGCCCCGAACACAAACTGGAAGGCTTGGACTGAAGTTGTGTGAGGGACTTATGGACCTTTAAAAAGGACTCCCCCTTTCCCTACCCTACTGTGACTGGTCTGACGATTCTTCTGCCCACCCTCCACTCCCTTTATTCACCTTACTCTTCTAGTGTCGGCATACTTTATTTACTGGCCTTTATTTACTTGCCTCGATTCTGAACCGTGTTTTGGATTTGGATCAGAACTGTTCTGAACCGTTCTGAACCAAATTGTTGTATTTAATGCTGGTTATCATAGAAGAGGTGGGTCGAGAGTTGAAAATGACACTTCATATAATAGCAGAACTTGAGTTAAAACACACTCCTACACTGACTACTCCTAACTATGATTAATTAATTTATAAATTATCAGAAGATTTGAAAAATTATCAAGGAGACTTAATACGATTTAAAAGACAAACACTGGACAAAGTAAACACCAAGTATAAAGAATTCTAACAGGTGACTCTAATAGAGTCTATAGACCACATAGACCCTGTAAGCAGAAACCATTAGTGTCCACAGTGTACTTTACATCTGGGGAATCCGCATCCGATTCAGAAGTACAAGCCAAACAATGTCTCCCAACACCCTCAGCCACTTCATCTAAAGAAAGAACCTCTGAGGTTTATTTTTTAGAGCCGGGTTTGGGACTCCATCAGACCCCTTAGAAATATGGGCAGAAATTTGGATCGTATAGGTGGTCTAAGCCTCTGCATAAATATATCACCAGATGAGGGAAGAAAGGAAAAGAGAACAGTCTGAGGGCCAGACCACCTCGGAGAAGGTAGATGTACCTATATATAACTTGTCACACTGCCCACTCACTCAGATTGAAACAAAAGTTTTATCTAAAAGACTATAAATTATACATCAGATCTGAATGAATGTGAATGGGAAATGGATTTATTTAAATTCATACGCAAACTAAGACTGACAGAATTCATTAGTAAGACATGATCAGTATCCACTGACATATCAGCAATTTTTACTTTTAATTTGATCCACCATCTACGAATCTAGCCTCAAATGTGTTTTATAACAACTTGATATCTGACTGCAAGAAGCTTTCAGACATCACTTTTCATGTTCATACCAACATTACTCCTGCAAAAAGAGAGGAACTGAAACCTGGCCTCTGACTTCTCAATTATTATCAGATCAGAGGATAAAGAGGGAGGTGCAGTTATCAAGTTATCAATTCTATTCCAACTCTCTAACAGAGAAACCTATACAGTATGTAGGGGTGACCCATGTCAGAAGTTCAGTAATAAAATACATGACACTTTGGAAAAAGGATTTGAGACATGATACATTAGAATTATTTAAATGTTTTATACCAGCAACATCCAAAGTGTCCTGTTCTGTGCAAACTTGCTAAAATCTATAAGGACAGTTCAAACCTACCGGTATGTCCTATTGTTTCTGCCAAAGGTAGTTTACTTGAACCCATGGTAATGTGGTTGGATTTTTTGTTTAAAACTCTAGTTATGGCTATTTAAACATGTGTAAAGGACACACATATAGTAATTGAATCCCTAAAAGAAATATGTACTGTCACATTCTGACATTCTGCTAGAAGTTATATATGTGAATAGTCTCTATACTCTGATTCCAAACAAAGCAGATATATGTGCCACGAGCCAGGTCCTGGAAGAATCAGCACATTGGAATGGTCCCCTGATAGAGATTGTTTTAGATTTGTTTTCACGGTGTTCCTGATATAGACAGGAGGAGCAGTACTCCTTGAACAAATACTACAGGGCTATAACAGTCTCTAGAACCCAATCTGACTTACATACCATTACAGTCCATTAGAAAATTAATTTTTGGATTTGCTGATTTTTGTTGATGAGAAGAAATAGGGATACACATCATTCATAAAACCTATGGATCCTACATTCTACAAGTTTTACACTATCCTACATTCTACAAGATTTAACCCTAAAAGACTAAAATAATCATTACCCATCTCACAGTATATGCAGGTAATACGTAATAATTCTGACAAAATCTATTTTACAGCTTTTTGCCTGAGTGATCATCTATATACAGTTCAGGTAGCCATTACTCTATATAGAGTTCTTGGAGTTCATATAGTTTATAATCAATGTATTTTCCACAGTATAATGCTCTTGATTTCTTAAAAGCATAGTTTGATTTAATACTTGATTCTTAATTTGTATTTCAAATAGGCAACTAGTGGTCACCCTTGCATAAGGTATGCTGTAAGTACGGCCACAATTTTTTTAATGCTAATTATGAAACTTTGTTATGAAATCACTTCCTGTTCACGGCTTATAAAATTTTGTTTAATGTTTGATAAGCTTGTCTTGAAAAAAGTCCAAATGTAACATTTCCCATTTAAAATCAGTTACTCTCAGTCCAAGTATCAAAGTATCAGACCACTGTAGAAAGAGTTGGGCCCAGGGACCACCTCACAACTTAATTCTGATAAAGGTGTGATGGTGTCCAGTTGAAGACCCTTTAGTGCTCATTTTCACTATATTTAGCTATGAGGCACAATCCTTTGTCACTATTTCTTGCCAGATTGTAAAAGATTTCTAACTGCCATTGCTAAGGCAAACCGTAGATGATTCCTAAATATATATATTTCTGGTCCATCAAAACGCGATGCTGGTGTGTACTATGGTCATTGCTGCCACCCAGGAGTAATAGAAGTCTGAGCTTAAGACTTATTTTTGTGTATTTGTATTTGCTTTTGTATTACACAGCCATGTTACAATGCTGCTGCCCACCCAATGTGATCCCTATTAAGGGTTAATAAGTATGTAGGGGTTTAGAAAAATACCCCTCTCTGTCTCTTTTGAGATTTTTTTTTTTTGCCTGAAGCTGAAATAAGCAAGGTGAATTGTTATTGTATGACCCACCTGAGAGGTTTTCCTTGACGTGGCAGGTGGG